TGGTAGGGAGAGTGGGTTGCACTCTTGGAAGGATGGTTTGATGGTGACGATGAAATGGTGCTGGGAAAAAGCTGTGTAAAGAAATTTTTTTAAATTGCAATTTCATCCAAAAAGTGGGAGTATTTATTTTTAAATCCAAATAAATTTATGTTCAGTTATAAAATAATTTTAGAGGGCGTGTGGGACTTTTCATGACAAAAAATATATCAAAGAGTGGCACACACAGCGCGTGTGACACACACTCAGCCCGCGGGGGCGTTTCTGGCTTTGAGTAATTTTCACAGGGGGGGGTTTGCTAATATTTTTAACATGGGGAGTTTTTTAGCCATTTGAGAGTTCACAGGGGGGGAGTTTGCAAAAAACCCCTCTTCAAATGATAAATATTTAGGAGTGGGGTGTTAATTAATTACTCGAGTGAGGAGTTTTTTCTTAATTTAATCTTATCTTGGGGGATCTTCCTGTAATTTGCGTAATAAATTATAATTTTGCACTTTAAAAGAGAGAAGAGGGGTAACATGTACATACTTTTCAACACACTGATTTATTATATATATATATATATATATATATATATATATATATATATATATATATATATATATATATATATATATATATATATATATATATATATATATATATATATATATATATATATATATATATATATATATATATATATATATATATATATATATATATATATTAAACACTCACATAAGGAGAAAAAATACATCTTGACAAGAACAGTGTTCCTACCCAATGAATGAAGTCTTTGACAGTTTCTAAGAGTGTTGTTCAAAATTCAATCATAATTTACAAGTAGTGGTGACAAGTTATTGGACTAGCTACAATAAATCAGTATTAAATTTCAATGAAATTTTTCTTAATGATGTTGATATCTGTTATAGAGTTTGACTTCAAAGATTAATTACAAGTGTTTGCGAAAGCTTTTGGAAATATATTCCGAGTTCTTTTTCCTTCTTTTTATTTTGCTTATAATATGTTTAATTTTTAGGTGTTAGCAATCTCGGTCATTATGTTTATTAATCTTAAAATAAAATCTTATTTAAGCTATAATTTGAAAAGCACTGTTGGACATGCCCAGTGCACTCGCTATATGATTAGCTGATGGTTATTTTATTAAAAAAAATTAGTTATATTGTTGCTTAAAGAAAGAGGGGCAAATTATGATCACCACTCTGAGGTAATGTCAAATTACAAAAAAACCACTTTTATTTGTGTAATTACAAAGACCTCATTAACTATATATTATCTTAAGAAAAAATCCCCCCACTAGATAAATTTAGGGGCGTTCATTCGGTAAAATTGTATAGAAATTATGGTCCGCTAAATTTTCATACCGTTTAACATTTGGTTCGATAAATAACCAAACTACCAAATTTTTTTTAAAAAATATTTAATTTTTTTGATTTTTTTAAATTAATTTTAATATATATATATATATATCTCCGAATTAGCAGTTTTGGTAATCGGCATGTACGAATTTTTGTTCGGTTCAATTATCGACCAGATGAAAACCTCTAGTAAATGTGACATCGTAAGGGCGGACGTATAAAACAATACATAATTGGGGAATAGTTATAATTATCCAAATAAGAGGATTTTTTTCGTAATTATACATTACCTAGACACGGCCACGGGCCAGTTTTGGGCCCGGAACCGGCCCGTCCCACCCGGGATGGGCCCGGTTCTGAAAAATGATGAACCGTGAACCGCCGGGCCGGCCCGGCGGTTCACCCGGATTAAAAAAAAAAAAAAAAAAAATAAAAAAATTCAAAAAAAAGTGAATAACGGCCGGTTGAACCGGCCCGAACCGGCCCGGCGGTTCACCCGGATTAAAAAAAAAAAAAAAAAATTAAAAAAATTCAAAAAAAAGTGAATAACGGCCGGTTGAACCGGCCCGAACCGGCCCGGGTGAATCGGCCGTTATTCACTTTTTTTTTGAATTTTTTTGAATCCCCCCCCCCCCCCCCCCCCAAGGGTGAGCTTTTGTGAAGTTTTTTTGCCCCCACACCCCCCCATTTTTTCCTATAAATACCCTCACACCCCCAATTTTTTCCTATAATTTACTTATTCATCAAATATTTCAAACTTGGGCTTCTAATTGACTTTTCATTTATTTCCTTTTCCTTTATCTATTTAAAAGTATTTCTTTTAATTTACTTATTCATTAAATATTTCAAAAAAAAAAAAACAAAACAAAAAAAAAAAAATTCAAAATTTTCGGGCCGACCCGGAACCGGCCCGGATAGGTGAACCGGCCCGAACCGGCGGGCCGACCCGGCCCGGTGAACCGTGCACGCCACGGGCCGGTTCCGGTTCCGGAAAATGTGAACCGTGAACCGGCCCGGAACCGGCCCGAACCGGCCCGTGGCCGTGTCTAACATTACCTGAGGGATGGCCGTAATTTGGCCAAGAATGAGAGAAGAAAAGCTCCATGGAGTTTTAGGTTAATTTCATAATCTAATTGGTTGGACTCTATTATGGGCAGTTAAGGCCCAACAGTTAAAGGCAGATCTGGTCTCCCTGTGTCTTTTAACTTTTCAATAGAGCCCAAAAAAAATTGGGGCTAAATTTGGCGGGAAAATTTATTTCCAGCCCTAAAATTTCACCCCAAAATATTCAGTTTTCGATTTTTACAAAGAACCCTAAGTTCCCTCGCGCAATTTCAGAACCCCCCATCACTCTTTTAACTTTTATCTCACGATGGCATCTTAACTCCTCCAATTTCGCCCTGTAAATCCTACCTTCTACAAGTATCCTCGAAGATAAATCTCAATTTGGCGGGTTCGTTCTCTTTAGGGATCGTTACGAACGTAAGTTCCTTTTTTAATTTTCATATAAGATCAAAGGAAAAAGGTAATTGGCATGTACGAGGAGGATTTCAGTTGCCAATTTGATTGATTTTTTTTGTTTATAGGGTTTGCAGACCCATATGGCTGACGTGTTTGACGACGAGGTTGATGCCGAGCCCACGATTTCGATTGGGGATTATCTAAAAGCTGTTGAAGAAGAGGAACTGGTGAGTGGGTGCTTACGGATTTTCATGAAAAATCAATTATGATTACTTTTTGATGCTTTTTCTTCTCGTTTGTGTAAATATTGATGCAGTATATGATATCTGAGAGTGTAGAATTTCGGAATTTGTTTATTGGGAAGAATGAATTTTGGGGCTTTTTACTTCTAGGTACTCAAATTTGAATAGGATCCATGCTAAAACATTTCAAGAAAGTGAAAAGAAATGATAAGTGTCGAATTTAGAATTTTTGGGTGCAATTGCTCGTCCGAAAATGCAGTTCTAAGGCATGAAAATAGGAACCATGCTAAAACATTTCAAGACAGTGAAAAGAAATGATTAGTGACTGCAATTTAAGAGTCGAGTTTTAGAATATTTGGTGCAATTGCTTGTCTGAAAATGCAGTTCTAGGGCACGAAGGAGGGGAATCCCGATTCCGGATTCGAATAAGTTTAGTTATGCACCAGTTCACTAAGGGTAATTAATGTCCTTGAATTTGGTTTACCGACATCTGAATTGCTAACACAACCGTTTCTTAAATAGTGACTGCAGTAATTGTTGTTGCTCCGATGTTACTTACTCTGTCCAATTTATGGTTATTTAAGACTCATCTATCGTACGGCTATTAGCTATCGTGGTCAGTGATCAATTAATGTCGACACAAACTGGACTTAGTTTGGAAGAAAAAAAACACAAGTAGGAAAACACATAATATTTATTAGCTTATTTTAGTTGTTTACCCGAACTTTTGGAGTAATCAGTGCTTTCTAATTGATAATATTACCAAGTAGTTACTATAAAAGTCGCACTTCGCCATATATGTGTTTGTTTACGTTCCTTGCCATTTTCTGCTAAGAATTTATTGTATTTTTAACTTTCTATATGAAAGTATCTCGTGCTTAGCTACCTTTTATGGTGGTTAACTTATTGAAGGCTCAAATTCCTTAAATATTCAAAGTTTATACATCTAGCTGTTCTTGATATAGAAGTTTATTCTCACAAAATAACAAATTCATGAAAGCATTAATATAGTACCATGAACCTATCCTAATTCGTAAGACTTGTATGTATAGTTTATATACATGAACCTATCCTAATTCGTAAGACTTGTATGTATAGTTTATATAGTAATGTTGTAATATTTACGAAAGCATGCCATTCATCTTTCAGTTCATTATTGTCCGTACAGACAGTTCATAATGCTTTCATGATTTCATGTGTGCTCTTGTACACATAAGTTAATGTGCTGCGAAATATTTATATACAGCTCCTGTAATGGTTGACTTGGAAGTCAGCACTGAATTTGATCTGTATCTATTGTTTCGAATAGTTTATTATCCACTAACCATCTGCTCTGTCATCGATACGACGACATGCTTTACTGAAATGTTACTAGCTGCATGGAGTTGTTAATCTCGTATTCCGTTAATTCTGCATGCTATTTTCTTCTGACTGCATGCCTTTCTCTTTTACGGTGTTTTGACTTGCTGTTTTTTCTTTTCCTACCCCCTTAAATACATTCTAAAGGAAGCAGATTTGGTCCTGGGAGGTGACGAGGGCAAGGAGTGTACCTATAGCAAAGGATATGTTAAGAGACAGGCAATTTTCTCGTGTTTGACATGCACACCCGAGGGGAACGCGGGTGTCTGCACAGCCTGTTCCTTGTCTTGCCACGAGGGCCATGAGGTACTTTGTTATGTTCAACTTTGTAAAGATGCGTTCATTTATGCTGCATAGTACGCCTTATATTTCTTTCAATATTCTATAGGCAAACATTCATTGTTTGGAGCGAGAAGTATTTTATCTGTATATGCCATCTGTCCCTTTTTTTCTTTTTTTTTTTTTTTTTTTTTTTTTTGTGATGGTGTTTATTATTTGCTGTTTGAACTAGATTGTGGAACTATGGACCAAAAGAAACTTCCGGTGTGATTGTGGGAATTCGAAATTCGGGGAGTTCTTCTGCAAGCTGTTGGCTAGCAAAGATGTAGAGAATTCAGAGAATCTGTACAACCACAATTTCAAAGGTACTTACTGCACCTGCGATCTGCCGTACCCCGATCCTAACGTCGAAGAGCAAGTCGAGATGATTCAGTGCTGCATTTGCGAAGACTGGTTTCACGAGGAGCATATCGGTCTTCAGTCTTCTGACAAGGTCAGTGCCCGTAATTTTTTTTTGTCTTGAGTTCAATTCGATGTTACATAAACGTACTTATTTAAGTGATAAATACCGCCAATTTTTTTCTTATGTTAAATATTTATGTTGCCATATAGATTCCAAGAGATGAAGAAGGCGAGCCTCTATACGAGGATTTTATATGCCAAGGGTGTGCAGTCGTTTGTTCTTTTCTAACTTCCTATCGTCAAATCATTTCAGTATCGAACACTTCGGATACTGGAAAGGAAAAGGCTATTTTAGACAATTCACACACGATATCTTCAGGCAAGATGGAGAATGGGAGTTCTTCGAGTTTAACCAATCAAGAAGGTGAACTTAAGGTTTGTACTGAAGCTGCGGGCCCAAGTGGAAAGTGTGTTATCGGAGAAGTTATAGGAAATTCGCCAACTGAGTCTGAAGGCGATAAAAAGCCGTTTTTTCTTTCTAAAAACTGGAGAGAAGTTCTATGTAGGTGCGTGAAATGCTCGGAGTTTTACGCACAGAAGGGAATTAGCTACTTGCTTGATAAAGAGGATTCAATTGCTGAGTACGAGAGAATGGCGAAACAGAAAAGAAACGAGAATATGGAGAGGCAAGAGGGCGTTGAGATGAACTTTCTGAATAATTTAGGTCATGTCGAGAAGATGGAGATACTTAGTGGAATTGCTGATATGAAGAATGAACTCTTTTCGTTTCTGGTATGTATGGCTACACTATAATTAAAAAATGTACGTAATTTTTCGGGTTTTTTTGCGTTGTGAAATATTTTCATATTTTTTACGTTTTACTTTTGTAGGAATCTTCGGACCCTTCGAAGGCTATCACGACTGCCGATGTGCAGCAGGTTTTTGAGAATCTTGCCAAGAAGAGGAAGCGCCCGGAGTAAGTTATCGAGCTATTTATGTTAAAAAAAAAACGAACCTGGATAATAGTAATGCTTTTAACTCTGTGTGTGTGTGTGTGTGTGTGTGTGTGTGTTTCTGTGAAGTTTTGTAAACTCTGGTTTTCGATTATGGATCTTGTGTAGTTAGTAGTGACCTACCCCCCCCCCCCCCCCGTCTCTCTCTCTCTGTCTCCCTAATTTCACTGACAAACATAAATAATTGTTAAACAAATTTATTATTCAAATATTAAGATACAGAGAAATTTAATAAATAAATAAAAAATCATTTTTTTTTGACATAGATTAAATGTTTCTCACATGTATCAAATCGCCCTCAGCTAGCCAATACTCACATGCACTCGTTAACTACTCCTATTAATTATTATTTGCTACTTCTCCGAAGTTCTCTTCCTCAAAAGAAGAAAAAAAGAAAGAAAAAAAAAGTAAATGGGTAAATTACGGCCACTCCGAGGTATGGTCAAATTACAAAAAAAAATTCTTATTTTTAAGTAATTACAATCATGTCCCTCAATTACGTGTCTTACAAATTCTCCTCTCATTTAGTAAATAAATTTAATACCATAAGTGTGGATGTGCAAGACAATAAGTAGTTGAGGGATGTGGTTGTAGTTACTTAAACAAGATGAGTTTTTTTTTTGTAATTTAACCATATATGAGGGATGGTCGTAAAAAATATGAAGAATGGGAAATTGCATAAAACCATGCCTACAAGTAAGAAATGAAGTCCCGTGAAGAAGCAGCAAAATTTGAAGAAAAAAGAATGGAATATGTTTTATCTTAGTTTTGCAATTATTACATTATTTTCATCAGGGGGTGTAGCTCATATGGTAGAGCGCTCGCTTCGCATGCGAGAGGCACGGGGTTCGATTCCCCGCACCTCCAATTTTTAGCTTACTTTTACATATTTCCAACTTTTTTTTTTTCATTTTCGTAAAATTAACAGTACAATACAAATACATCAAGAACTGTAACAAAATGGATAAACCTCTTTTAAGATTCATAATTTTTATAGATAATAAATTTAAAATCAAATATGATTCATTTATATAAATATAAATTATAAATATTAAATACATAGTATAGATAATTAGACCATAAAAAAGTCTCCATCATATGCATCTTTTATAATTTTTCTATTTAAATATTAGACAAAATAATAACATTATGGGGTCATTAGCAATAACTCCCTCTTATAGATAAAAAATAGTGATATGCCCATACCATAAATTTTCCTTTGTGATAACCCCTAGAATATTTATTTCCAACATTGCCCTTGCAACAATTATCACAATTTGTAACACTTAACCATGATTTTCGAAATTCGTAATAATATGGACGCCTAAATTCCTATTAATTTCGAAATCCCTAATAACATGGCCCCTAAATCTCTATTAATTAGCATTAATATATGCTTTCCTATCAAAGTTGCTTCAAAATAAAAATAAAAATAAAATCAAGTTACATAAAATTCGCTGAAGAAGACGCACGAAAGTGAAAATTCCCCTAAATTGAAAATTCCCCCAAATCGAAACTTCCTTGCTTCGAAACTGCAGTCACATACCAAAAAATCGAAAACATGTGGTACATCGTCATACATCCATAAACCCTTACTAGTCATATACAGTCTCTGATTTTGATTTGAAGTAGTCATATTCGAATCTCTACGTAGGCATTAACAGAACAGTGAGAATATAACAATTATGTGACTATGTTGTGTATAACAGTGTAATTAACATATTGTAGAAGCCTAATTATTAAAATAACGGTAAGAATATGACTATTATGTGAATGTGACGGTGCTTTGTAAAACATTATAATTAAGAGATAGTAGAAGCATGATTCTTAACAAAACAACGATAGTATGACTATTATGTGACTATGGCTTGTATAACAGTGACTGAACATGAAAGTGAGAATATGACTATTATGTGACTAGGTTCTGCGTAATGTGACTACAAGTAATCAGCACTTGAAAAAGCTTGCAACATTAATAGCAAAATACATTGTAAACGGAAAAAAAATGACTACAAACAAACAAAAATAACTAATGTGATCCTCCAACAATGGCCATCGAACATGTTTTTTTGTTGCGGTAGCCAACTCGGTTGCACCGTCTGTCAAATATGACTACACAGTTGAACATATGCAGCACTAAAAAAAATGACAAATATAACTAAGTTGTTAAACATGACTACTCTGTCAAATATGACTACTCTGTAAAACACAATGCACTACAACCGACTAATCTTGTAATTCAATGAGTTCTCCAGATCTAAACATTCAGAATATGCAGAATAACACAAAAATCAATAAAATCCAGAATAATTGAAAATCAATGTATACGTTCATAACGAACAAATAATAGAACTAAAAATTCAGATCCATAACATATTTTATTGCTAGTTCGACAATTAATTCGAGAAAAATAAAAAAATAAAATTTACCAATTAATATAGTATATATTGGTATTCCACGTTGAGAGAAGATGAGTCTTCATGTAGAAACACGCACCAAACGGAGGAGGCGACAAGGTGGGGGAGGCGCCGCCGCCAATTGTACCAGACATCGTGGTGGTGTTGGACGAGGGGGAAGACGATCTCCAACATCGACGGAGGAGGGCTACCTGCAACGGGTTTCGACCGGTGGCGTTTGAAGGGTATTGTTGGCTCCGACGGCGGCGGTTTACAAATCTGAAGAATAAGGAAAAAAAAAAAAGAACTGTGAACGAGAGAAAGAGGCGAGAGAATGAAAGAGAGAGAGAGCAGCGAGAGAATGAAAGAAGCGAGAAAAGGAAATAGAGAGAAATAAAATTGTATTACGTTAAAAACCTAAAACATAGGGGCACTTTAATTTTATCATGGCTGGTAAGAGGGGGTCTCACTAATTTAGATTGGGATTTGGGTTATGGAAAAAGTCTTTAAAGTCAATTGAGTTTAATACAAAATATTTTCTAAATGAGGGGTGTATTGCATATTTCCCCTAAGGGTGCATTTGGATGGAGGGATTTCAAATCCATAATAACAAATCCCTTGGACTTGTTTGGATTGAGGGATTTGGAGATGGATTTCAAATCCCCACCCCTCATTTTTAGTTGTTTTTGGAGCAATAGTGGTGGATTTCAAATGACTCCAAAATTGGAGTCATTTCAAATCCATTCCCGAAATCAAATCCCTCCCCAAATCCCTCTATCCAAATGGACCCTAATATTATTTCGTAGTTATAATATATTGGATTCTCACTCAATAAATACATAAATTCATTCGAGTAAGTGTTAACCGCAATTTTCCCGAGTCTGATAATAAAAAAAAACGAATATCCCCCCTATATTTACATTAATCACACAAGTGTCCCATTTAAGAGCGCGAACATGTGACATAGAATTGCCGTAAAACATCCCACTACAATTGCTCAAGCAAACCCAAGTTCAGTGTTTGCCTAATCCTCCAAACCCTAACCAATCTCGTCGGTAAATCTCACGCCGGCAACCATGTCTAACCCTAACTCGTCGGTGAAGCTCACGCCGGAGACAATGCCTTACTCTGACTCGTCGATAAAGCTTCCCCGACCGATCGGCGTGAAGAACAAGGCACCTGCCTAAGTTCAAATCACCGCCGATCAAATTGTGCGCGAAGCCCGCGATCTACATGACTGTGACGTACGGCCACTAAAACAAAGATCGTAGATTCCTCCGAGCTTGGAGAATACCGTCTTTGAAATGGAAAGAATTCGAAGATTCAATGCGAACGGCGCGGTGGAACAAAAGCGTCTGAGCCAAGTATGCCAGTTTGGAAGAATCTCAAAACGATTTTGCACGTGCGACTCAGTGTGGAAGCGCGCACTTGAGGTGGATTACAAGGACCACACGATGTAGTTGAGGTATGCTTCATTTCTTATGAATAACAAGTTAGTGTTACGGTTTTAAGATGCGATATTAGGCATGTCGACACTTGTTGGGGTTCCATCCAACCCTTCTGAAGCTGAAAGCGCTCTATTAACCTCCTGGAGAGTAAGAACTTCAAGGTTTTCAGCCTTCTCAAGCAACATCGAGAGAAAATAGCAGTCCATAGTCAATTCCATTGTCTTTATGTTGTGAAAGCTTATAGTCGCAAAGTCAATAATCTAGAAATACAAGAAAAAAAGAAAAAAAAGTTTAAGATTAATATTACCCAAGAAAATTATTCAATGAACTGCTGAAAGATTGAACCGAGTACGTACATCAACATAATCTGGTGAATCCAATGTCAGACACTCCACATTACGGACCATATCGACAAATCCCACCAGAAATCGAGAGTAATGGACACATGGCATGATTTCATAGTAGGTGAGTAATGGACACGCATCATGATTTCATAGTGGGTGTTCGGTTCATAGTAGGTGAACTTCAAGGTTTTCAGCCTTCTCAAGCAACATCTAGAGAAAATAGCAATCCATAGTCAATTCCATTGTCTTTATGCTGTGAAAGCTTATAGTCGCAAAGTCAATAATCTGGAAATACAAGAAAAAAAGAAAAAAAAAAGTATAAGATTAATATTACTCAAGAAAATTATTCAATGAACTGCTGAAAGATTGAAAGAGTACGTACATCAACATAATCTGGTAAATCCAATGTCAGACACTCCAGATTACGGACCCTATCGACAAATCCACCACAAATCGAGAGTAATGGACACGTGGCATGATTTCATAGTAGGTGAGTAATGGACACACGGCATGATTTCATAGTAGGTGTTCGGTTCATACGGCACAACACATTACGGACCCTATCGACAAATCCCACCAGAAATTGAGAGTAATGGACACGTGGCATGATTTCATAGTAGGTGAGTAATGGACACGCGGCATGATTTCATAGTAGGTGTTCGGTTCATGCGGCATGATCTCATAGTAGGTGTTCAGCTCATAGTAGTGTTCGGTTCATAGTAGGTGTTCGGTTCATAGTAGGTGTTCGGCGTCGCACGTCTACGTCTGCTTTTCTCAGACCATCAGTCAAAGCAAGGTCGCACGTCTACGTCTGCTTTTCTCGGACCAACAGTCAAAGCAAGGTGTCACGACCTTAGATCCTTCTCGCCTCTCGCGATATCTAAGTCAGCCTCGCTTACTTTTATTGTATATGTTGAATTCTTGTTGGAT